CATGCTCCTCTGAATATAAATGTTTTAGTCCACAGATACAGATAAATGGTTTAACGATTTGTCTCGCAATTATTCTCGCAGTCATGGCGTTAAATATGTTTATTACATCGATTGTACTGAGCAACGGATATATTTCGACCTGTCTGCAGTACGTGCATCGAGTGAAAAGTTTTTTGATGGTACCTAATATTTTAACTTCATATATTTTATTGTGTAGGTTATGAGTTTGTACCATATGATTATACACTTGATTAGTAAATGACCGTAATTTGTATTTACACAACAACTAAAGCCGGATTCACAGCTACGTCGTATGTCGGTCGTTAGAGGGCGTGGAAATTATATGAGAAACCAGTTGAGCTTTAGTGAATATTATTGGTATACTCGGCTCCAACTTGGTTAGTACATGATACCGAAAAAGTAACGTTCAGTTACAATAGGTACAATTTGATCGACAAGACATAGCTGTGAATTCAGCTTAACTATAGTTTAACAATCAATATTTTATATAAATAATGTTTTTTAAACGATTTATAGGTTTCCGGAAACATGGTAGAATTGATAACAAACCGTATGTCTTGTGGGACTATTTACGATTTCATGGACTACTTACAACCACCATCGCGACAGGTGACATATGAACTGATCCATCGACACAAGACCAATCCACGCGATTCCGTGATTAATACGTCGGCACTGTTAATTATATCTATTGTACTGTCGTGGTTGAGCACATTAATATGGGTTATATTTACGTTTTTTACTTATTATTTCAAGTGAATAGTTAATATGGTAGGTTCCTAGTGTTCCTGCCTATTAATAAATGCTTATACATCTACTTAATTATTGTATACAAATTATATTTGTGTGTAACATGCCCTAAACATTTGAGTGTTTTACTATATAGTTAGTATATCTAAATACTTTATTAGTTTTGAAAAATATTGACTTGTAATATTTGCTATTTTGTAGATTGCAAAACATTTGGTCGATTATTAACCAATAATATCAATATTATTTTTAGATAAGAAATTTATAATAAACTAATTAAAAATCAATTTTCCTTCTTACCAAATGAATTAAGAGATTTGGATAACTTCTTTGAGTAGTTTAAATTATCTAGTCGTGTAGGTTAAGTATCCAAAATCGGAAAAGGACTTAATTTTAGCAGTCTTTCTTAACTTTGATCTATTTTTTTTTATGTAAGTTGGTATGGTATGTTCGTAAAAAATCTATAAAATAACACTGTTATTTAATCTCATCAGATAAAAATACATTATGTGGTTGGTGCKTATCAAGTGGTTGAGATAATTTTATTTTATTCATATGTATATTGAATAGGGGCAAAAACAAATTTTCTATATTTGGCAGATTATTAACCAATAACCATTAATAAAATATGTATTTTAAATAAGAACTTTTAATAAGCTGATTGATAATTTCTTATCTTAGAACATTTCTTACTTACCTGATGAATGGGGAAATCTGGTAATGTATTTGATAATTTAAATTGCCCAATGTAAGATCAGTATCGAGAATTAGATAGGGATTTAATTTTAGCAGTATTTCTGAACTATGATCCTTTATTTGATGTAAGTTGGTACAAAGAGTTTGTAATTATCATTAATTTAATTTAATTTAATTAAAGAAAAGCTATATASTTAAAATTGTTAAAAGAAAAAAATATTCTTTGGAATTCTTCAAAATATTTTTTTTAAATAAGTGTTAAACTATTGTACCTATTGGCTATTCCTATTTATAGAAAACAAACTAACATGAATACAAATCAAATGTAAAATATTAATCTTAAAATTATTGAGTTAATCACCATAATTTATTATTATAGATATTATATACCTACTGCACTTAAATATAAATTTTAAAACAATTTGAAGTTAATAAAATAATAGAAGAGTATGTTAAATTATTAAAAATCATACATAATAGGTATGTAGGTACTATAGGTACTTATTACTTATTAGTGTCTAAAATGTACTTAGCTTAGCTTAATAACCAAATACATTCATAATAATAATTTTTTAATTATTTAAAAAAAAATAGTTAGGCGAATCGGTGTATCTTGATACATATTATAGTAGTTTATGATTTTAGTACACCTACCTCAGTTCACGGACCACGGGGTACATCATTTCACCTAGTTTTGTGAACTAAATCAATCGAGTTTTGAAATCCGACCGGTGTGAATTGGATGGCAACACATGGTGTTTTTTATAACAGGGTTCAAAAATTCAAACTACAACTCTCTAAACTTTCCTAATATCTCAAATAATGATATCTGAAACTTTCGTAAAAATTGGTAGAGTATAGTTGTAGACATTTTGAGTCTTCAGGCTTCATTCATAACTACATTCTACATTAGCACATTGCCTTTTATTGTACCAACATTTGAATACCAACAATTAACAAGTAGGTAACAATAACAGTAACAAATAATAAATTAAATAATAGGTATTAAAAGTTATTAGATTTTCTCGAGCAAAAACGAAATTCATGTGTGAGCGTGAGCCTCCCTACCTATATCATTATGGTAACCATAATGGTTGAAAAAACAAACTAAGAGCACTCTAAGAGCCYCGAAAAATCTTTTGATATAAGTACCTATATGGTATATTACTTACTTATAAGTTATAAGTAACTAAGTAAGTACTTAACGTTTCTTGTGATCGACTGACTTCAGAGTAGTTTCTGAGATTGCCATTACCCAGTAAAAAATTCATTAAACATYAATATAGATAGATAAAGACATAAAGTTATATAATACGCCTAGGTTTAGGCAATACAATTTATAGTACACTGTATAGAATTAAATATAAATACTGAAATTTACTAACTAATAAAAAACAAGTTCAAAATAAATTATCTTTTAGTGAAAATAAGATTATACCTAGTTTAATAATATTATGTCTTATATCTTATATTTTAAAACTGCCTAGGTACAATATTTTTTTTTTWAAATGTAATCTTAATTTAATTGAATGTTATAACACGTTCTAAGTGTTATAATTGTTTAAAATGTAATTGGTTTAGTATGGGCACAATTAGTTATGTAGGAACAAAATTTACTAGGTAATTGAAACGAGTAGGTACAGTGTAGGACCTCGATTATCCGATAATATGAGACTGCAYCAGTGCACCTAGTTCGGAAACACAAAGAAACGAATACAAGATACCTCGTTAATACTACTATTATAGTACATAATATAAATAATATTACTTAAATAATATATTAAAATTTATTAATATGACTATATGAGTGTATGTAATATTTGCATATATATATCATATATCACGAAAAACATTATTTATAATATTATTATTTTATACGAACGTTAATGCACTACAAATTACAACGCATTTGGATAAATACGTAAATTGCAGTTTGAATGATTATGATAGAGGTCTCATTTAATGAAAGTTTTGATAATCGAGGTTTTACTGTATTTATAAATAATAATAGGCAGATGATAGGTACGTTTGGTTTTTAAAGCTTACATACTGTCTATATAATGTACCTACACTCTTAATCGATGAAAAATCCAACTTCAAGAAACAAAAAACAATAAATTTCTTAAATATACTAAACACATGAAAACTTTAATTTAATTTAAGCAAGCAGTACCTATCGGATATAATTATAAGCTAGTAATGCCTAATAAAACTGTAAAGACTGAAAAAACGATGGAATTTGACAAAAGAAAACGTTTGAAATAACTCACCATCAGTGGCGGCTATCCTATACCTCAAGTGTATCGACGGATACACATGATTTTGGGGTGGGTGAGTAGGTGGTTAACTGCTTG